AAAAAATAAATGAAATTTGGAAATCCTATTAAGCCTCGTTTGCCAATTGGAAGAGCGAAATGGTTTGGGCCCAAAATCATTTACACAAATTCGTCAATTGAATTGACGAGTTACTTCAAATGCATTTTTGCCTAATTCGCCAATTGAATTGACAACTGTCTGTTGATTGTTAGTTGTTTTGGTAAATATTTTGAAACATTAATTTTAATGGAAAATAAAAAACAATATATAATTATTGTAAAAAAAATTCCATAATGGAACTGAAGTAAACAAACTCTTGTTGCGGTATTAATTAGGATGCTGACGAGAACAGTGATCATATTGTCATTCAAATAGCTAAGCAAGCAATTGAGGACAGTAATGATAATTCTATATTTAGTCGATTTCCAAAACTAAATTCTCATTAAAGTTAGGGAGAGCCAACCTGTCAGTCCTAACCTTTTTCAATCTTTCAATTCATACTTATGTTATCTAAAGTTAAATTGGTTTGTTGTAGGATCAACAGAATGTTGATAGGATTCAGGTTGAGGAAACTAGAGTTGCTGTAATATCATCCAAACCTTTTTTTTTTCTTTTTTTTTTTTGAAAATTTATTTTATATATTTTTTAATTAGTTATTTGTATAGGATAAAAATCCTGATAATAGAACTGAAGTTGTGAACGAGATGAGAAATGAAGTTGACAGAAGTCTTGTTGCTTACTAATTCAATCAAAACTTTATTATTATTATTATTATTATTATTATTATTATTATTATTATTATTATTATTATTATTAATAATAATAATGTTAAAGAAAATGTTTATCTCATAATGAATTAACTCAAATATTAAAAAAAAAATACATTATTGACATACAAGTTTTATTTTTATTAATATATTTACTTAAGAATAAAAGAAAAATGATTATCAGTAATAAAAAAAACAGAGTTATAGAATTTAAGTATTTTTAAAGCAAAGTTCTTCTTAGTCACCCAGTTTTTCAGTAAATAAAGAGAATTAATCATTAAAAACTTTAGGAAAATTAAATATTATTTATTCTAATTTACATATTTTTTAAATTTATGATCATTAATATTTTTTATATAAGTAAATAAACATTAGTTATATATATATATATATATATATATATATATATATATATATATATATATATATATATATATATATATATATATATATATATATATATATATATATATATATATATATATATATATATATATATATATATATATATATATATATATATATAATATTTTTGATGAAATAGGCACTATTTTAAATTAGTAAATAAAAAAGTTATTTTCTATTTACTATTGAAATTATAGAAAATTATTAATAAAAAATGTAGTTAACAAACACTTGAGACTCATTATTTTGTGTTATAGAAAAATGTGACAACTCTAGCAATCAAATAAAAATATGGTACTCAATAAAAAAGTTTTAGTATATACCGTTTTATAAAAGCATTATCAACCATACCTTAACCATGAAGCATGAGTTGTTGGGCGGACTCAAAAGTGTTGAAAAGTTTGGTATTATTGTTTTCTAAGATTAAACATAACAAGTGTGTTCAATTAGTTAGAACTTGAGGCCGTCAAATTATTTATTGGCTTCATAATTGTAATAAAATGAAATAGTGATTTTTTTTTTACATTTTTTAATTATTTATTTATTTTGTCACTTGCTGCAATCTTATTTTTTTTTATAAGCAAATATTATTATAAAGAGATTAAGAAAATCTCAAAACAACAAGATTACAATTACCATAAAAAACAAGTCTATTACAACAAATCGAACGGGAATTTAAACCATTCGTATAAATTACAATGATTACTTTTCTGTCTTCCTAATATCAACCAATTCCACGAGGAAACTTTAATATCGAAAACAATGTCATCTACTTTAATATTTTCATTATTGAAAATAATGTTATTTCTAGCCCTCCATAAAATCCAGTAGGAAATAAACTAAATTGAGTTGATCTTGTTCTCTTTACATCGGCCCGAAAGTCTCGAGTTCCAGACCTTCGCATGAAGATTACAACAATCCTCCGAGATGTTCTCTATATCCACCCAGTCGCAAATCTTATTCCAAACCAACGAGGATTTAGTGCACGAGAAGAAGAGATGTGAAACGTCCTCGAAACTTGACGAACAGAACGCGCAATCTGAATGTTGGGAATTATCAATCACCCTTCTTTTCATCAAGTTAGATCTAGTAGGCAGCCTATCAAGCGCCATCCTCCAAATAAAAGTTTGAACTTTTGCCGGTAACACCGTTTTCCAAAGTATCTCCAGAAGGGTTGCGCTATCACTACCAAAATCGTAAACAGAGGCAGAAGAAGTTAAAGCAGTATAGAAAGAGCTTACCTTATACAAAGATGAATCATGAAGAAGCCCTCTCCAATTATCGGTGACATTTTTGACAGATGCAACCTGATCCAACAAATTACTACTATCAGTCCATTTTGGTTCAATATTGGATCCTGCATCTATCAATGATTCTCTCAATTTCCAAACCCACTGACCGTCCTTCTAAGCTCCCATCTCAGTGACTGTCAAAACTTTCCTGGAACAACCTTGAAACAGCCGCTGAAACCTGCTTTTAAGTGGCAAATCTCCAATCTAATTTGACTGCCAAAACACCGTAGCATGACCTTCACCAACAGTGCAAGTCGTGAACTTGCAGAAGTCCACATGGAAGTCGTTGATTGAACTTGATAGAATATCCTTCATCCAAGGAGAGTCGAATTTCGAGCTACCGACGTCGGCAAAAGTTTGCACCTTCATACTCAAGTTACCATATTTGAGAATGAGCGTCTTTCTCCAAAGTTCATTTCCGCCACTTTGAAATCTCCCCAGCCATTTTGCTATAAGAGCACAATTAAAGTGACCTACATGTTTAATGCCAAGACCTCCGTGTTCCTTCGGCTTGCAGATGGAGTTCCAAGATATCCAAGAGATGAACTTTTTATTGGAATTCCCAGCCCAAAGAAAACGCCATTGGATTGTGATAATATCGTTCACATTTTTCTTGGGAGCCTTGAAAAAAGCCAAGTAATGAATAGGCATGTTATCTAAAACCGAGTTAATGAGGGATACTCTACCTCCCATAGACAAATTTCTCCCATCCCAATTAGATAACTTACTCCGCAGACGAGAAAAACCGGGTTCCAGAAAGAGTGTCGCCGATGATTTCCTCCTACCAAAAGACCAAGGAAATTGAACGACAGCCTGCCAGATTTACAGTGCAGAAATTCTTCAGCTGCAACAAGAAAAGCAGGGTCTACTTCTATCCCATAAAGACAACTTTTTGAGAAATTAATTTTCAGACCAAAAGTCAATTCAAACGCACGCAAAACAGCCTTGAATGCCCAAATATTAGTAACCGATCCATCTCCTATAAGCAGAGTGTCGTCGGAAAATTGGAGCATGTTTGTAGTGGCTTGATCATTGATCTTGAATTCAGATTACAAGTTACCGGCAGCCGCGACTCTAACTAAACAAGACAAACCCTCTGCTATTATGGCAAACAGAAACGGAGCCAAAGGGTCGCCATGCTTCAGTCCCCTTCCAACCTTAAAATCCTTCAACGGACTTCCGTTAATAAGAATCGAAATATAGCTATTGAACACAAAGCCTCGAATCCATTTTAACTAGTTAGAACCAAAACCCATCTTGACAAGCATTTCATCAAGGTAAGACCAGTCGACACAGTCGTAGGCTTTAGCGAAATCGACTTTGAAAAACAAACATTCCTTGTTAAACCTCTTAGCATAGTCTATTAATTCATTGGCCAACAGAACTCCATCGTAAATTTGCCGTCCCAGAATGAAAGTTGATTAGGAAGGAGAAATAAGTTTGTGAATAACCTTGCTCAATCTGCAGGCAAGCATCTTGGAGATAACCTTGATAATACAGCTAACCAGAGTAATTGGCCTAAAATCTTCGAAATGTTGAGGGTTGTTAATCTTCGGCACCAACAATATGAAAGAGGACGCGAACATCTTAGGGAGAACTCCTGTGTTGAAGAAATCCAGGATGCAATTCGTGAAGTCCTGATCAACAATATCCCAGCAAGATTTTATGAATTTAAAATCAAAGCCATCGACACCGGGGCACTTGTTACCGTCATAACTGAAGGCAGCCTTTCTCACATCAGTAGGACTGAAGTCTGCTTCCAATAACAATTTGTCCTCCTCACCAAGACAAGCAGCCAAAGCGAAATCACTTCTGAACTTAGCCGGATTTAATTGTGTGTGCTTACCCTTAAAAAACTTCACCACTTCAAACTTGATATCCTCAGGGTATTCCACAATTCTGCCTCCCACTGTAATAGCTGAAAGACGATTCGACCGATTCCTAGATTTCAGGGAGTCATGAAAGAATTTAGTATTAAGGTCCCTGTTTTGCAGCCAACTAACCCGGGGTTTCTGGGCCATAATGCTTTCTTTGATCCTTATATTTTTCCACATTTCCTCCTGATACCGCAGCTTCTCTCTGACCAAATCAGCAGCTTGTGGGTCTGAGTCCTCAACTGAATCCAACTCTAGCTTGTTAAACTTAGCAATATTATCCTCAATGTTTAGCTCCAACCAACCAAATACATTGTGAATCCAATTCCTGAGGTCAGATTTAAGGGCTTGAATTTTCTTAGAAATGATGCTACAATAGGAACCTGTGACTTGATACGAGCTCCATGATTTCATGACGAAAGGGATGAAATCCTTGTGGTAGAACCAACAGTTGAAAGTCCTAAAGGGTTTTGGCCCCCAATTGACTAAATTGGACTTCAACCACAGCGGTCGATGATCCGATATGTCTCTATCCCCCACCACTTTATTCTTCAAAGAAAACATTGAGATAACCTGATCATCAACCAAAATTCTGTCCAGTCTACTTCTACTCTTACCATTAGAGTTGAACCAAGTGAAACGAATTCCAAATACCAGTTGATCCATCACATTCAAATCTTCAATGAATTCACTAAATTCCTTCATATCCCTCTAGTTGTTACCACCGCATTGAAATCTCCCCTCACAATCCAACCAACATTAGAGTAATTGCTTTTAATTTTAATCAGTTCTCTCCACAGCTTGCTCTTATCAGCTGATCCACAGGGGGCGTAAACATTGATCACAATCAACCTATGATTATTCCAAAAAATGTGCAAACCTAAGAAACCTTTCCCACAAAAACTAGAATAAGCTGTGATTCTAGTAGTATTCCACATGGTTAAAATACCACCAGAGTTTCCAATGGAGTTTTGAGCTGACCAATCCATGTCATAATTCCTCCACATGCTATTTACAATACCAGCCTCCATCTTGTTAATCTTGGTTTCCTGAATAAGGAAAATGTCGGCACTTCCTCTCTGAATAATTTGAGATATTCTCCTTCTCTTTAAAGAGCTACAACAGCCTCTAACATTGAAAGAGACTAGATTCATGGATCAGTAGTAGCTACATCCTTCTTGCCTAGACCAACAACCTTATCTACCATATCCAACTTCCTCAGAATACGCCAGTTTCCTCTTCATCTTCGTCTTGAACTCCCAAAACTTTAAGATAATTGCCCAATTTTGATGGAACTTCTTCAATGGCCCTTCTGCATCTCGAGTTGGCTCTTTCCACATCAGTGTCAGTTATCGATTCACAGCATAGCAGAGCAGAACTAGACTCTGATAATTCTTTAAACAACTTATTCTTCTTCCTTTCTTCCTTAGCATTTCCCTTCGACACAGGTCTAAAGTTATCCTTGGGGGCCGTGAGAAGCAGGATGGAAAAGTAAGACGGGGTGTAAGGTATCTTAATGCAGTTACAGACCTCATGAAGTAGTTTTTTCTTTTTAACTTTACCTCTAACAACAGGCCCAATAACTCCTCCAGAAGGCCCACTAATTGGTAAAGGAAGCCCCAAATCTACCACCAATTCCCCGTTAAGACTGGGTAACACTAAATCTGCTTTGGACTGATTTAGTTCTAAGTCAGCTAAAAAGTTATCTAGTTTAGTTCCTCTTGAACGAATCAAAGCAGCTAAATTCTTTTGGTTGTTCCCTCTTGACCCATCACCTTCCACACTTAACCCTATGCTATCTCCAACAACAGACATGTTGTCTGACACAGAAATAACAAAATAGGCCTTTTGAGCTACAGTAGGTGGGGCTCTGACTTCTGTCGCTGGATACGAAAAGCTGAGATCATCACTCTCTTCCTCTTCAGGTATCTCCCACACGCCATCTAATTCTGAAGGGTTTGAGGATTCAAAAGCATCAAAATCTATCACCTCATCTTCTTCACCAGACAAGGGATCTCCATGCCCATACGAAAGATCTTCTGTAAAAGATAGTGAAAATGTGTGATTATTCACTACAATGTCAACCATGTTATTCAGAATAACCCTTAATCTTGTTTTAATAAGAAGGCTCACTATGTCCAAACTCTCTTTATTCCTCGTCTTTACATCGCACTTGACGAAAGTTCCCAGACTAGCAGAAATCTTCCTGAAATTATTCTCACTCCAGGCGATACAAGGTCAACCATAGCAATTTACCCACATTATCCTGCCTCTGTCAATTTCCTCCATATTCCATTTGCGAATGTCTCTGAACCAAATATCCAACCATTCACTAGCTTCCTTGACAAACACCTCCAAGTCACCTCCAGATATATCTTCCAACAAGCACAGAGATGCTCCCAAGGGAGTAGCCTTAATGTTAAAATATCCTTCTTCAAAGATTAACTTCTGAATGTTGAGTGCATTTCCATCTTCCATGAATTCACCCGCTCTTATATGATTCAACCTCCTTAACCATTCATCATCCACCTCTAAAATTGTGCGTTGACCTCCTCCCTTGACCCTATCAACAGGTTTAGGGTAATCTCCTCTTACCACTATGGCAAAAGACCTATCCAGATTATCAGGTTCCGTGAAATTTCTAGAACGAGCAGTTTGAATATTCCTCCTCAAATTTTCACTACCTGGAAAAAGCCTCTTGTTCTCCTTACTAAACCTGAGGATATTAACAAAAATATTTTTTCCTTCCAAGACGACACTATCAAGGTTGCAGGGCGGGATTCGTGGATCATGAATTTTTCGAAATTTGGCGAAACCGAATCTATTACCTCGCTTATCTCTCTTAGTAGAAATGAAGACTTATGAAATGACTCCATAGACCTTGAAAACCTCAAACAGATCTTTAACATTCATCTTTTCTGGAAACTCAATAACAAAAAAGGATGTCGTAGTTTCACCGGAAATAACTTCTTTTCCTTTATTCTCCTTCCAAACTGAGAAACATCCACTTCTACCCTTTCTATCGTTCCTAACAATCCTTTCCCAAGCCATGGTAAAACCACAGTCTCAATCCGAATAAAAATCAAAAGGTTACCAAGGCCCCTAAACTCGAAAGTTAGGAATTTAAGCCGAAGATAACCACCTAATCTTCATAGAATCGTAAACGTGCAGCTTTGAATCAACGAAAATTCTTGATTGCATTGGAAGAATTAGGGTTAGGGTTATGAAATTGGGGAATTCTTGAATGCGTGTGTCTTTGTGTGTTACTAATTGCAATGGGTAAAGAGAAAGCTATTAGCAAGAAGTTATTTGAAGAATCAACAAGCACAACAATGGAAGTGAAGTTTGCTGCAATCTTATTGGATGGATGAAATTTAACCGTAAGTTTACGTTTTAATTATCTATTTATTTCTGTCACTTGGTTCAACATAAGTCGATGGAAGAAATTGAACCACTAAGAAGTTTCACCGGTTTGAACTTTTGATTCAATTTATTATATATATATATATATATATATATATATATATATATATATATATATATATATATATATATATATATATATATAATTAATCGTTATGTAGTGTTGGTGTAATAATTTTTACGTTGTCAATACATCACAACCATCTGTTGATATTACTTTTCAAGTGCTTAGAAAAAAAGTCAAAACATTCAAATAAATCAGTGGTTAAAATCAATTGACAGTATAAAAATCTTTACACTAACAATGCATATCAATTAAATTCTCTCTCTCTCTCTCTCTCTCTCTCTCTCTCTCTCTCTCTCTCTCTCTCTCTCTCTCTCTCTATATATATATATATATATATATATATATATATATATATATATATATATATATATATATATATATATATATATATATATATATATATATATATATATATATATATATATATATATATATATATATATATATATATATATATATATATATATATATATATATATATATATATATATATATATATATATATATATATATATATATGAATTTGTAACATAGACCCATTTGTTTTTATGAAGGTCTATTTTAGCAAGCTTTAATTAAAAAATTATTAAATACACTTTAAGGTGCATGTTATTAAAACACACCTTCATAAAAACAAGTGGGTGTATTATAGCAAACCCTTGTGGGATTTACTATAATATATCCATTTTTTTTATGAAGGTGTGTTTTAGTAAGCTTTAACTAAAAAATGGTTAAATGCATTAGAACTCTTTGTTTGATTGTTATCAAAGTATTGCACCTACAAGAAGAATATAGTAAAAGTTGTGAACCTTGAGCACAAGGTTGTTTTGAGGAGGGGTGTTTTGTTAGGATATAGAATAGTGGTTAGTTAGAGTAGTTAAAGTAGTTAAGGGTTATTATAGAAGTTAGTTAGTTAGTTGAGGTTGTTATAGGGCTATTTGTATAAATAGGAGAATATAGTGTAGAGTTGATAACTTGATATGATTGAATATTGTAAATCATTTGTGAATAGAGTACCAAAAATCTATTGTGAAGGGGAAATCCTTGAGGGAGAGCTTGCTCTCATGTTATTTTCTATTTTTTAAAATAAAAGTGTTCTTTCTTTGGAATCGCTGGTGACACTATATACTTGAAATCTAACAAACTCGTATTCATAAGAGCTTTGAGCAGTTTTGTCTTTCTATAATTAAACAATTGATTTACTATGTAGTGAAAGATAAAAGGAAGATTAGCATGGAAAAGAGGACGCCACATCACAAATGCCATGTAAGCGTGAGTTCATGTTAGTTAAAATGATGATAGTATAGAACTTCATTATGAAGTAGTAGAACGATAGGGACTTACAAAGTAATTGAACTGAATTTATTTATAAATTTTATCAAAACATTCTTTATTTATCTTCTGTGGATGAATATTACTGTGAGTATTATGTTCTTCACTAATACCAATTTCATTTGTTACTTACAACTTTCCATTGAGCGAATTGAGATTCCATATGTCTTACTAGTTTTTGAGGCTGACAAATTTTGTAACCTCACCATGTCAGCTATCAATCTAGCGAAGAATCTGATAACACATGGTCAAAGCAAGCACATCGAAATGAGGCTTCATTATCTTCGTAAGCAGGTAGAAGAAAGAAAGATGAACATGAGACACTGCAGAACTGAGAATCAAATTACAGATATCATGACGAATGTGGTGCATGTCGTAGTTTTTAGAAGACTAAGAGTCATGATGAATATAGATAGTTTAGACACAATGAATTAGGTGGTGTGTTAAGAATGTAATTATTTGTGTCAAAATATCTATGTGTCGAGTTGTATTAGTGTGTCGAAGTGTCGAAGCAAGTTGTTTCACACAGGATTTTGACTTAGGCCTATTTTAGTAATGTTAACTATTTCGGATTTTTATAGTTTTGAGTTTTGCCTTAGGGTGCAAGCTAACTTAAATATATAAATAGGGGGTAACCCTTATTTTATAAGCAACTCAATTCATAACATTGTATTAATAGAATTTGCAGTTGCAAGTGAATCAAGAAAGGTTTCCACAGTTTATGGGCAGAGAGAAACTCTGCAAAAAAATTTCTTCTTCTTCTCCAACGTTATTTTCTTTTTCTTTTTTTTAAAATCTTTTTCGTTGTCATTGCGTGATTGATAACAATCTTGTCCGTCAAGATTGAGTAAATTATCTATAAATTGTGGTTGAATTCCAACAAATAGTACTACTAGAGAACCTATGGTTTTTATATTGTATTATATCCTTGCAAATGTTCTTTAATTCACCTTATTTTTATAATTTTGGTTTACTGATTTTCATTTTGGTATTCATAGTTGAATAGTGTACAAGTTAAAGAAAATGTTTATCTCATAATGTCTGGAACTAACATACAGTGTAGTCTTTTATTTTATTGTTCATTATCTTTGGCAATTGGGGACTAAAAAAATTATTATATTTTATTATCTGTATTTTTATTTACTTTTAGATAAGCATTTTGTTATTTGTCACTATGCCAAAAAAGATCTATAGCAGCGATTTTTTTGGCCTTTAGCAGCGTTTTTCCTCCCCCTTTTTAGCAACGATTTTAAAAGCGCTCTCTAAAGTCTATTTTCCTAAGACCTTTAGCAGCGCTTTTTTTTTGTCTTTAACAACGCTTCCCCCCTTCTT